ACTCATAAGTCACCTTCAGCGCTACGGTACCGGCATGATGAGCGTCCTCAGCATCAGGGAAAGCCCAGCGAATGAATGGAGGGACAACCCAACGGTGGAAGAAAGCTCGGGTATCGGTAGCGTAGAGGTATGAGCCGTATAGAGCAGCAGCACCAACAGTGCCGTAGAGGGCAAGCTTGAGAGCAGCTCCGTCACCGGCCGAAGAGGAAGATGATGCGTTGCGGCGCTGGACGAGCTGTGACCTAGGAATGGCAGGACGAGCGGAGGAAGTAATTCGGGTACCGTAGACGGCAGCTCGTGATCTGAAGAGAGCGGCAGACATGGCTGGGAAGTAATGCTGGGCCGGGCCAGCTCCCAATGGTTTCACGGGTCGCGATAGTGTTGTTCGGGTGAAGCTTCAAAACGCATCCACAAATTGCCGACCCTTGGTTGTAGAGCACAGTATCAGACAGTGTAATGCACAGTATGCAGCAAGATATAAGGCGCATCAGCGCCTAGGTAAGGTAGTGTGCAGATACTCTGATATATACCTATTTCTTCTTCATCCTTGTCTCATGATTTAAGGAGCTTCACTTTGCCATTACAAGTAGCAATTCAAAATCTTACACTACATTAACTTATTACGCCGATAACGCTCATCGGTAACCCGAATTGAGTTCTCATCTAGATAATCTCGACCTGTTCAATGGCACGAGGAACTACCTCAATTAGAATAAAACCACCGAAAATACGCATTGAGTTTCCAAGTTTTCATTTTTCATGAATAGTTTGCGATACTATCGAATGATGATCACCCGAGAGTAGTGGATTTAGGACGTACGATGCTGCCACAACTTGAATACCATATCAAAAGGAATTTAATTCATGCAGATATTTTAATCCTCGGCAAAACTACAGATTCGCCGTATCTGTTCTTTTCTTTGACAGGCCAAACTTTGATATCTATGTCACTGATGGTTTCATTACCACTGCCATGAATGATCCACATTCATAACTGGCCGCTGGTGTTGCCGATGATAGTTGATCCGAACATGGAGATCGGAGCTGGTCGGGACGGAACCGCACAATTCGGAGGGCGAAATTAATCCGTCTCCACTCTTTCGGCCGTCTCTTACAACGGAGCTCAATAGTCACCCCGTGTTTTGTTATGGATCCGAGATTGTGGCCGTCATAGCTTCGGTGTATTCGGGCACCGGCCACTGATATGCTTTATAATGAAGACAATCCTATCACAATGATTACAGATCGCGATGGCTGGTCACCTTCCTAGAAAAGACTATATAGTAGGTCTGATAGATACCTCCATAGACAATTGATTTATCAGTTTACACTATTATAACCACTCTGCATCAGAAGTCGACAACTTGAACATAATAAGAATGTCACGAGCAATTCTCATATCTGGTGCGACCGGAAAGCAAGGCGGTGCTGTTCTTAACCGACTCGTCAAGCAAAAGGCCGGCGTGGAGATTCTCGCCGTCACCAGAAACCCCAATTCTCCTTCAGCTCAGAAACTTCTCAAGAAATCATCCAACATCAAGCTTGTCCAGGGAGACTTGTCTGACGCAGCCGCAATCTTCAAAAATGCCCGCCAAGTTACAAAACAGCCGATTTGGGGAGTGTTCAGTGTTCAGGTATGTACACCCTCTTACTGGGTACAACTGAGATGCTAACTTGATTCTGTCACTTAGTCCCCTATGGGCCAAGGAGATGGCGCTGAAGTAGCCCAGGGAAAAGGCCTTGTCGATGCTTCATTGGATGCCGGGGTCAAGTTCTTTGTCTATACTTCAGTTGATCGACACGGCCAAGACTCTCTGAACAACCCAACTCAAGTTCCTCACTTTATCACAAAGCACGAGATTGAGAAGCATTTGATTTCCCGTACCACAGGTACTGATATGCAATGGTTCATCATCCGACCTGTGGCCTTCATGGAAAACTTGACAGACAATTTCCTAGGAAAGTCATTCGTCACAGCATGGAAGCTAGTTGTCAAGAATAAACCTCTTCAACTCGTCACGGTGACCGATGTGGGCGTCGCTGGCGCACAGGCCTTCCTTCAGCCTGAGAAATATGCCGGCCGTGCCGTGTCACTTGCAGGTGACGAACTGACACTTGAGGAATTCGAAAAGATTTTCAAGGAGAAGACGGGACGAGATCTCCCATACACCTATAGTCTTGTTGTTTACCCAATCATGGCGATGGTCAAGGAATTGGGGTATATGTTCAAGTGGTTCAAGGACCAGGGTTTTGGTGCGGACTTGAAGGCCTTGAGAAAGGAGTACCCTGAGTTGATGACATTCGGAACTTGGCTCGAGACAGACAGCGACTTTGCTCCCAAATAGTTGAGAGATTCGTTGGAGGTGATCTTTCGGAGGCTTGTTTCTTTGCGTATCAAGGCTGAAGATACAGTCGTAATAGTCATTAGGATTGTGATAGTAGTGGTGTCCGTCTTGGAAGCCTTATGGAATGATTGAGAAGGTGACAGCCAGTTTCTTTGCCTATCAGCATCCTCAAGAGAATGAACTCCGTGGATAGGAATAAAGACGTTGCGTAGCGAGTAATGGGATATCTAGTGGTGTCTCTTGTAAGTTAACCTATGCTGAATTGTAAGTATCTGTATAACAAAAAATAGTATTGATATCCAACCTTGTGCATGGAAGTAGATGTGATACCACACTGCTTCATTTCCTTGACAATTTCGTTCGCCAAAGCATTGGCAACGAGATTTGTATTGCCAAAAGTAGCCAAAATCTTGAGTGTGAAGTCTAGATTCTGACCATGTTCTCTATCAGGCTCTGTCGGAGATGTACTTGCCATAAATACTAGAGAAGCCATATATGCAGCAAAGCAAATAAGGGGGTTCGTAAACGTCGCACCAAGATCGGGTATTATTCTAAAAATGTTGAGTATCTCTTCAGCTGCTGGTAGTAGACGGTCTTGAGATAGCCGGATCAGGTAAACCGGTAACCCCCGTAAATTCGACTTCATCCTCCACAAAGCTGCTCGGTGAAGGCAGATAGTAGCAGTCTGTAACATGACGTTGACGAAAATAGCGTTGTGAGTCCTGTAGTTGGCAGGAAGACAAAGATTCTTTGGTAGCATCAATAACATGAACTTGAGATCATTATCAATGCCTTTATGTCTCTGCCAGTACAGGTCTCCGTTGAAGTTGTGATCTTCTTGATAATGGCTGTTATTCGATCCAGTATGTTCTATGGTGCGGTGGAAGATATGCGCTGCGAGAACAGCTCCAGCAAACGTGGAGTGTTGTTCGGATTCGAGTAACTGGTCTCCGATGAAGCGCGTGTGCTCCTCTTGGCCGTTCTCATAAGCGTTGTCTGAGGCTGGAAGTCGAGTTTTGATCTAGAACGGCGCTCAATGGTATGCTAGAAGGACTCTAGCGGGAAACTCACGTTACGATCATGTATAAGTGCTGGCCATCCAGTCGTGGCACAGGTAAAGCGATCATAGCAGAATATTGTCCACCATGTACGGCGTCGTTCTTCAACTCCTATCCAGTCAACATGTTGGTCCCCACCCGATCTGGCGAAGTCAACTTGATGCAAGTTTAGCATCTGTGCAGCTCTAATGGCAGAACAGAGTGTTATAGAAGCCTTTGAAAACATAGAGTGCTCAGCTTCGAAACAGGATATCAGAGCCCTGGCTTGTACGTGTCCTAGAGTTATTGAGCTTTCACTGGTGTCCTATGTCCTTTGCTTAGCAAGTGTCTTGAAGGGAGACAGTCGTGACATACACCCAAGTCGTCTTGTTGAAGGTATTTTACGGCACGCTTGTAAAATACCATGCCCAGGTGGCGGTAGGCGTCAGATGTCTCTGCGGCAGAGGCCATAACGATGTATTGAAGACACATCGGAGGCTTCATATGATCCGGCAGGAAGAGGGATGCCATGAATCTCTGGCGATGTAGCAGGGGTGTAACCTGATGGATTTTGCTGAAGTATATGTTCATTCTGATGCAATTGTTACTAAATCAGAGGCAATGGGTTGAAGTGTATGGAAGGGCATCTTACAATGTTTCGATCAACTGTCGAGGAGGCGACTCCTCAAATAGGCCCAGCCTGACAACGGAGTCTTCCTCTTGACTAGCCGGTGTGGCGTCAATTGTTGCAAGAGGATTGTATCTGCTTTTGCTGCTTTCGATGTTGGATGCCCTCGTCTCTCGTGAGTTGTTAAGCAGTCTCTCCAGGCGTCCTATCGCGACCGAGTTCAACAATCATCCTGCTAGTTGGTAGTGACACCACATACCGAGTTTGGCCTCCAATTCTTTTGCTTGACCACGGGTTTTGCTTTGGTACGGTTGCCTTGATAAAGAATAAACGCAATCGTAGCTTTGCTTGCTGCATCGACTGCAGGAAGGTTTTGTACGGTCACACTTCAGTTTGCTTTTCCGACAAACAAGACAGCTAAAAGGAGCAAGAAGAGCAACATTTTCTTCTCCTTCATTGATTTCATTGGATTTATTGATGCTCGTGTCCATTTTTGGGTGTTGTTTGTGAATCAAAGGAGCAGAGGACGATGTTGAAAGAGGGAGATTTGGTAGTGAGATAAAATAGTGGAGAGGGGGAAACAGTACTCCCAATGCCAGGCTTTATGATATCTTCCCATCTGCACTAAAAGACTTAAGAAGAAGAGAAAAATATAATTTCTTCGATTCAAAATTAGATTTACGTACATACTATCCGCATTTTGTTTCAAGTAATTGACTAAACGCGAGTGTTATCGTCTGTTGGTTAGATCGTCATAGATTATTATTCCCCGCCATGGGAGACATTGGATGATCACTATCACAATCAACATTAATGACTGAGAGATGATTATAGTGAGTCCTAAGAAAAGACCAAGTTTGGATTCTATAGCTAGAAGTCTGTCCGAACCATCTGATCTCGCTGTGCTATCTGCACCTCTTCTCTCTGTCTACACCCCGTGATGATTTCCCAAGCTCCGAGTCGGGTCAAAATCAATGAGCGAGCGCTCAGCTAGTTCTCCTTCACGATGAGGGAGACCTCGCACTTGCCAGGCTTGAGGACGTGGGGGGAGTCGTTGTACTCGCGAAGCGGGATTCGGAGAACGACCTCGACCTGATCCTCTGCAGCAAGAACCTCGAAGGTCTGAATGCGGCAGGTGAATCGAGGGTGGTAGAGGCGATCGTAGCCATCCTTAGTGGTGCGGCAATGTTTGTCCTATATCTCTTCAGCATGTAGAGTAGCAAGGAGAAGAGAGTGACTTACGAAGGCGCAGCAGAGCTCCTCACGGCAAGCGTTGAGTCCGGCGGCACGGTCACCGGTGAGACCGAGAACATTCTTCGCGGCTACGATGTCCTTAACAACCGCCATCATGACGTCCTTGAGGTTGGAGGTCTCGTTGATGTAGTCCTGTGACTCGGTCAGTTCTGCTGCATACGAAGCTGTCTGTGTGGTTAGGAATACCTTCAGGGTCTGGGCGCCAGGGTGCTTCTCCTGCTTGAGACGATCGAGGAGCTGGATGACAGTGTCTCGGTTTTCAGACATCTTGAAGTTTGATCGAATCAATGAACAGTTGCTGAAATGTATGTGTGGGATGTCGATGTTGGTATCGAGGGTGATGTTGACTGGGTCAAATTTTATAGAATGCCACCGAGCTCAGGCCTTTATACCAGTAATTTCTGGGACCGACTCCAGCAATTCAAACAGCCAAAAGCCATTATTCAATTATCGATCCAAATGTCAATACCAAAGAGTGGGGGCTTTTCGTTTGAGTCCTCCTTTCACCACTGACAGTTATGTCAAGTCGTTAGAAATAACAATAAAAGAGGAATCATGTAAGTAAGTTTGTATAGAAAAGAATTTGATAGTCATCAAAGACAATAACTCATCAAGTAGCCGCTGGTTTGGCCGTGTTATTGTCCGTTATCTCACCCAGGCCTCTTGACTCCTGACGACTTGGACTCTCAGGTGAGATGGGCCACGAGTGACTCCGTGTCGAAAACGACGAGTCCCTATCGTCATCAGATGGACTCACGGGTCCCACGTGCGTCATGCTGCTTGACTTTGTCATCTCTGCAGCACCAAGCTCTGGCGTTCTCATGCATCCACGAAGTTCCTCCGCATGAGGTCGATCGCCTTCCATCTCGTACAATCCCTTGCTAACATAATATCCTTCTTGAGAAGCGTTGGCTTTCTCTATCTCAACAATTCTGAGCTGTTCTTCGACAGAGCGTCTTCGTTTCCTCTCACGCAGCCAGAGGAAGACGGCAATACCGATTAAAATAACACCAATTGTAACACCAACGCCCACTCCTGCTTTTCCTCCTGGCGAGAGACCGCTGTGAGTAGGTGTCATTGTGTCTGCTTCATCAGATGCTTGTGCTTGCTCGGGGTCGCCAGTCTCAGTCGGTGCGAGGCTCGTCCACGTAGATTCTGCCGCGGCGGCTGTCTCTTCAGATAATGCAGTAGTGGCGACTGTTGTCGAGACCTTTAGTGTTGTCGACGCTGCTGAGGCTGTAGATGATACAGCAGTGGGGAATGACGTTGGTTCGGTGGCTGTTCCATAAGGTTCCCAATATTGTTCGCAGATCTTCCAATAACTATTCTCGTATTCTGACTTCTGTTAGTTAAGCATTCGCATGCCGAGTCGACAACGACATACCGAATTCGTCATCTTCAGTACACTTCTTTTTTGTCTTCCTTTCCTTATTTGAGAGACATTGCTCCAACGTATCAACGATGGTCTGGTGATTCGGCTTATAGCACCAACAGTCGTAGTCGTCTTTGGCACAGCCAGTATTGGCAACACTGATGTCGAAGCATCCACTTATACATTCCGGAATAGCCTCATAGAGAGACTTTGCGTTCTTGTTGGCCATTGTAGGAAGAGATTACGACAATCGATTGATATATAACTTCAAGTGGGTGTAGTTTAAGCGGATGGATAGAACTGCGCCAGCGCAAACTCGAATGCAAAGACGAAGACAGACAGTGACAGATGCAAAGACAAGACAAGACACGAAGGAACAAGCTAGCACAGCTCAGACGCGAAAGTTCCAGGAAATAGGATCCCTTAAGAAGGATTCAAAATTGATTTAAGGCAACCAAGACTCCATCTGGACACGAAGGATCCCCTGTATCTCCATCTCACTCCATATAAGCTATTGGTTCATACCTGGAGGCTGCTCAATGCGCAGCATCGTCCTCAAACAACTAATGCTGGGAGTAAACCTCTTAAAGCTAGGGTCATGACTAGACTGATAGGGCCGTGTACGCTTCAAACATGTCTCCCGTCAGCGCTACAGCTGAGAATGGGTCGGAGGATCTGTTTCCTGGTAAAAGAGCGACATTCTAATTTCAGGAGCCAGGGGCATTTAGCCTTAAAAACTGGGGACCATCGGTATTTGGTTAAACCGTTAGTTAAAGTGGCTGAAGGGAATTTTAGACGCGAGAATTAACTAAGAGCGCGAAAAGCATGTGTAGCTTATTAACACATGCTCGAGTTAATGTTGTGAACTTAGTAGTGATATATGACAATTAGCCACATGGTTACGGTTACATGTGTTAGTCAACAAGAGGCCTCGACTCGCGAGACTCGGCCTCGGAACACAAATTACGAGATAAGCGACCGTACCAAGTAAATTCTGCCACTCAGAATTCTAGAACGGCCCTATCGTCAGCGAAAAAGGCTGTGATTGGTCAGGGATGGTCATTTCCCCCACCAGTTGGGCTCTTCACTCGCCTTATCGGACCTTGACGAGCGGAATAAAATCAACCATTTCCTTCTAGAAAATAACGATGAGGACAGAATCTCACCTCTTGCCATCGACATCATCAACTCTCACCTCAAAATAAGTGCGACAGAGCCCCCAGAGAGATGTCGTGGCTACCGAAAAACCTGTATCCGGAAGGCTCGGGAATTGACTCAAAGACAATCGAGGATATCGTCGTCCAGGACATTATCAAGAACGAGATGACCCGGAGAGAGCAGCTTGATCTCGCAACGGCTCTAACAGTTATGCTTGTGGCTGAGGCTGCCGATGAAACAACAACAAGCGTATGCATCGACTTTTCCTCTCATTTTCAGGGTGAGACTGACGCTCATAGTACGAATATGATGACGATGAGGAGTATGAGAGAAGAAAGATAATAAATAAAGTTGAAGAAGAGGAAGAAGTCGACGACGACGACGAAGAAGAGGACGAGGAGGATGAAGAGGACGAAGAGGAAGATGATGAGTATACAGATGTTTATGATTCGACGGAGGATGGTTTATATGACGCATTTGACGACGTGAGCTCATATGGTTCTCTGCGCTTTCTTGTCCTGGACATGCCCGTTGAGAATGCGGAACCAGAGCCCATCACCAGGAAGCGAGCTTTATCACGCGAAGAAACGCCATGCCCTCCACCGAGGAACCCGGCCAAGCGACAGAAGATGGATACATCCGCAGTATCAGAACCACCCAAACCACAGGCTTCGGGCACAAAGGAACCGGCGTCTCCATCAGCCCGACCTGAGTGGCAACAATACGGCGGAAAGGAAATACCGAAATCACTCATTCCTAGAATCGTCCGGTCAGCTCTCCTAGGCACTCCTCTGCACGCACTTCATCCCGAGGCACAATCGTTTCTCATGGCGATCAATTTCGACCTCCCTGGCTCCAAGGAACTGGCATGCGCCGTCATCGACATGGGCCTCAGATTCTCCAAGACAGCCACGAGGAGTGAGTACAAAATTGTATTTAAGGAATTACTCGAAAGCCATGGCCGGATCTCGATGTACAATAGCGCCCATAACAACTTCGAGGCGCAGCATAGGCTTTTCTGGAACAAGGTCAAGAAGCATACCGGCAAGCCTGTGCCTCCTGAGCGACTAGTAGAGCATCAGGCGAGAAAACGGAGACGAATAGCTGAATCGTACGCCAGAAATAAAGCCATACATGCAGAGGAAAACGCGAAGAAACTGGCTCTTCAGAAGCAGTTGAAAGAGCAGTTTGCGAAGAAAATGAGCGAAGGAGAGGCCAAGAAGTTACCTCTGGATGAGAGGGTTAAGAAGTGGCTGAAGGAGATTGTCCCGGTTCAGAAGAAATAGCACGGTATGGCATGGCATGGCATGGATAGCAAGAGATGAGAAACGTCAGTCTTCAGTGGAATGGGTTGCATCATGGCATTTATGAATACAAGATCGAGATACCCCCTTTACACGATAGGAAACGACAAAGTTATATGTATTATGGATTAACTTAGTATAAGCCACACGATATCACTCAATTCTTGACGCCACGCAGATGCAGCTTAAACGGTCCGTCAAGCTGCATGGCAGCACGCTATAGTCGTGAGTCTGGTGACAGACGCATGGCTAGATGGAACTATAATCGCGCGAAGTCTTGAATGTCTGCCCACTATAAGAGCGGTCAACTACAAAGGATTTCTACGCTTTTGCAGTTCAGCAGAACTACGCCATATATCGTCAGCCCTAGTTCGTGTTCGTATCCAACGAACCTCGCTTGATCAACATTAATGGAACTCAATGCTTCTTCGGAGGGTGCAGCCGGTCGATTTGTCGACCCACCAGCAAATTGAGACATCGAAACTTATCGATTCGCTGTCGATCACTGGGCAAAAAAAAAATAACATTCTCTGAAACACCACATGTGCAGTTGGTGTGTGGAGTCGAAACAGGCTGAGTCGTGTGTGCATGCAGCGTCGTCCCGAGACAGAAATAGCTGCGGAGAGTCCCATTTTGCTGGCTGTGAGAGACTCAAGGCCAGACATTAACTGATGCGGTGGGAGAGATGAGTGCTGTGGCCCGGAGGGTTCGGGAGTCATGGACATGGTTGATGAATAGTGCTGATCACATCTTTTGACGATATAAACTCCAACGGACACGGATGGATCTTACATGGAACAATAGGCCATAGGATGAGATAGATTTCAGTGAGTATCATAGTTTGAACGTTGGAAGTTGAAAACGAGCCCCAGACCTTGGGTCTAGATTCTACCGAACAACCACCCGAATGGAGACAAGAAAACCTGGGACCTCTATCTCCAGTGACAAAAAGACTTGAGTAAACTCAGCATGAGTTTATCTGAGTTTGGATTGAGTATTTGTGACACCTCGGTCCAACGCCAGAGGTTTTCTTGCTCCCTGGGGCGACCCCACGTTGGCGGATGCGCTTGAGTAGAGTCCGCCTTGGCCTAACAGTTTTGAAGCCACCATCAGCTCAGTAAGAACATTCGTTATTCCAGCGGTCAAGGTCAGTACAGCTGACAATGCTGTTCTACAGAACATGCAGTGAGTAGAAGCGGTCAATTCGATCAATTCAAGGGAAAGAATCTTCAACGTTCAGACTCCGTCTCCAACGGAATGAGTTTTGGCCAGGAGATGCGCAATGCTTCATCGTCATCATCTAGCCCCTCGACGTACGTATGTAAGTGGCTTTTTGGGGGGCGGAGGGCCATCAAGTACCTGTACATGAGCGTTCCCAAATGCTGCGCCAAGGGCTTACCGAGATGGGCAGGTCAAGCATCGATCGATACAAGGACCCCTATCAAACATCTCCAAGTCATCAGCAGCCACTGAAGGAGACCAGATTCACAGGTAGACAGGTCTCATGGGTTTCAGGCTCATCATGGATGAGGTGCTGACGTCGATTTGTTTAGCGCCCGTTGGTCCAAGAGCCCGTTGAGCGGGTGATGGCCCATGGCATTTCGGTCATAAACTTGGAATGCCCCGGCAGTAATTAATTAGTTGGTTAATTAATCGTGGCCAAGGAAATTGTAAATGATCTCTCTCTTATTTCGGCCTCGGGGTATTGACTGTCACTAACATGCCGAACCACGTACGTACATAGATCCATTGTCTAGGTTCTTTTTTTGTTGATGTCTACAACGCTAAGATCTCCGCCCAATGAACCGGTAACAGCAGATGGAGGAGCTTGTTCTGTAGCTTGTTTGGGTTTGAGTGAAGTGGTTGGCTGGGGACCACTAGAAGTTGGCAGCTTGCAGCGGGGACAGCGCCTAAATGGGTGTCGCATGTACCGATACTTGTTCCTTTGGGGTGTCTCAGGAGCCCACCCACATTCATCCAGGCTCTTTCATCACAAATGGATGGAAGCTGGCCCAGCTGGGCCTGGAGTGTGCGACGCCGTTTCCAAGGTTTCCAGGTTCTCTACTTTCATACAGTAACTTCAAAGCCCTGCACTAGACAGACTATTTGCTTTCTCAACCTTTTCTTCTTGTATATTCTCTTCCTAGAACCACATTATCGTTAGGTACTTTCTCCGCGGCTCGTACTCTCAATTGTTCATCTTTCTTATGAGCTTATAGAGTTTGCTTCAACCCCCTATAAACCAGAGAGAGTCCTTCGTCGCTGCCGCAACCGATACCGTCACCATCGCACATGTGGTCCTAAATAGAGTCTAGATTTCCGCTTCGACTCTCCTCCTCCGCCTCCGTCCTGAACATTGACTATCGGACCGCAATGGACGCCGACATCTTCGCACGAAGTGGCGGCCTCGGCGGCGACCCGAGCGATCGACCTGGATTCTATAAACCTGTCGGTATTGGTTTGGCTGTTGGATCTGGTGTCTTTATCGGTATCTCTTTCGTCCTAAAGAAGGTCGGGTTATTGCGCGCCAACGAGAAATACAACGAGGTTGCCGGAGAAGGATATGGATACCTCAAAAACTTCTACTGGTGGGCGGGAATGACACTCATGATCATTGGCGAAATCCTCAACTTTGTCGCATATGCCTTCACCGATGCAATTCTCGTCACTCCTCTCGGCGCATTGTCCGTTGTTATCACAGCCATCCTCTCGGCCATCTTCCTCAAAGAGCGCCTCAGCATGGTCGGGAAAGTTGCTTGCTTCCTCTGCATTGTCGGCTCGGTTGTTATTGTCATGAATGCTCCGCATACATCATCCGTCAGCGATATCCAAGAGATGCAGAAATACTTTATTACACCCGGATTTCTCACCTATGCCGGCCTCATTATAGTTGGATCTATCGCCACTGCACTATGGGCTGGACCAAGATATGGCAACAAGAACATGTTGGTCTATATCTCAATCTGCAGTTGGATTGGTGGACTCAGTGTCGTCTCGACTCAAGGGCTGGGTGCTGCCATCATTGCTTGGATCGGCGGCAAACCTCAGTACAAGGAATGGTTCCTATGGGTTTTGTTCGTCTTTGTCATTGGCACATTATTGACAGAGATCATTTATCTCAACGTACGGGCCCAGTTCTCCGCTGTATCTCAGTCGCTAACAACTCATCACAGAAAGCGCTCAACATCTATAACGCAGCCCTCGTTACCCCAACATATTACGTCTACTTTACCAGTACGACTATTATCACGTCAGCAATTCTTTTCCAAGGTTTCAAGGGCACTGCCCAGTCTATCGTCACCGTTGTTTTAGGTTTCTTAACAATTTGTTCCGGAGTAGTGTTACTACAGCTTTCAAAATCAGCAAAGGATGTGCCCGACGCAGCAGTCTTCAGCGGCGACCTCGATCAGATCCAGACTATTGCCGAGCAGGAACAGCCAGAGTCAGAACCCAAGGCCGATGCCATCCGCGGAGCCGCTGCCATCGTGCGACAGATCTCCCAGCGACGACTTAGAATGGAAGCCGAAGAGCTCAAGCGACTCCACGAGGAAAAGATGATGATGGACACAATGGACCCTATCCGAGAAGATGGACAGCAGCCAGAGTGGGAATGGGATGGCTTGAGAAGAAGACGGACAATGACTTTCAGGACCGGGACGATTAGCAGTTCTAGAGCAGGATCAGTGACATCGCCTCCACCACCGATGCCTCCCGCCTCACCCCGTTTTGCTGTAAGACCAAGCAGTCCAAGGCACCCACCTTTAGGCATGTCGCAGTTCCCACCGGTCGAAGACGGAGACGATAGCGACGATGACAACAACCGTCAGGAAACAAACACCCTCTTCTCTAGCATTGCAGGTACCATTCGAGGTAGAGCCAGAGGCTTCACCAACTTCTCAGGCCGACACGCCAACGACGATCATGAAGACGATAAACCGCGGCCCCGCAGCCCAATGCACCCGGTCCCCCTGACTGAGATTGCCGTCCCCCGGGATAAGGCCGACGAAGAACACGCCGCTTACTACGGTCAAACTCGGGAGCACGAGTACAATGGACAGGATACTGAGTACCGAGGGGCGTCATTCCGAAGTGGTGACAGCCTTGCGCCTCCGACGCCCCCGCCTCATGGACAACCTCAGGATACGACACGACGTCAGTTTTCATTCCATAACGTTTTCCGGCGGCCTCACTCATCGTCTAGATCAACATCGCACGTCGCGGACCCAACGGAGGAAGAGCGGGCCGGACTCGTCAAGGACGATAGCCAGCCTGGCCCATCTTTTCTCTAGGGGCAAATCCGATGGGTAATGTCAGCATTCGGGGTGGTACTATGAGCAAGGAAGGGGTGGAAACATGCATTTGCACGGCGCTATTGGAGTTCATTTCTTTTGGGCTACTGGGTTTCGCTTGGTTGGGTTATTCGGTTGCATAGCGATTGTATAATGTCGTCACGCCTGGGTTAAGTAGGGTATAGAACATGGCTTGGACGGAGCGCGAGCTTGATGACTACCTTTATATACAAAACTGCTGTGGGACATGATGGCCGGGTCAGTGGAGGATAGGAACACGACATGATGAATAAAGATCAGTTGTATACGTTAAAAAGATGCTATCTATGAAACGACTGGCTGCAGCACTGATAGCACAAGTGATTGTACAAGATTAAGAGGAGAGTCGCCGTTATTACTTTCATGAATTCGTTCAAACCGTTACGCTATACCAGTCCAAAGCATCTCTGGGATAAGCTTTCTGAACACCTGAAACTCCAAGCATTTAATAAGATTTTAATCAAAAGACCTCCGATCCGCTTATTGCCGACTTCCATCGTCATTTGCTTGTTCTTGTACTACCAATCAGCAGCCCAACCGTTCTGCTCGAGGAACTCCTCGCAGGCTTGCTTCAATGCCAGGTTTGGCCGCAGCTCAGAAGGCACGAGTGGCTCGCGCGTGAGAGGGTCACTATGATGCCTATTCAGGTGCTCCATGATAGACGCACGCTCGTATGACTTTCCAGTCTTGGTCTGTACCTTGTTAGCAAGCGTGGCATTCGACCGTGGTGAGTAACTTACCATGACAGGATCAACCATGAAACCAAAGCTGATGTCGTCAATGGCCCAGTCTGGAACCTCTCTCTTCTTCTCACCGTCTGCCCTTGCTCTTTCAAAGATCTCCTTCATCCTCTCAATCTTGGCATCACTCTCCTCCTCAATTTCCTGCTTCACCATTCCATCCTCCGTGTCCGCTAGCGTAGCCTCTTTGTCCTTGGTCAATAATTCAAGCATCTCCCTTTCAAGATCCTGCGACTCGCGAACACGCTTCTTCTCGAGATCGTCCCAGCGCTCTTTCTTGCAGCGAAGAACGAGAGCCGTCACAGCAGCGAGCGAGCGATCCCCCGAAGCGGCGCACAGCTTGTGCGCATGCAGAGCGTTCTCAAGCGCAGCGTCATAGTCGCGAAGAGCGATCTGTGCTTGGGCAAGATAGTACCGGGCCTTCATGTTGTCAGGCGTCAGCTGCAAACAAGCTTCGCAGTCGGTGATCACCGAGTCCCAATAATTAAGCTTAAGGCGGGCCATGGCGCGATTAGTGTAGAGAGCAGGATTTTTGGGGTCGGCGATGATGCTATTGCGATCTTTGTCAGAATAGGCTCTCTCTCCCTAAGCTGTGCTGTGCTGTGCTGATTATGTGTGCTCACGCTTTGGAGTAGAGGCTATCGGCGCCGACGTAGTCCCCCGCCTGGAAACATTTGTTCCCTTCATTCTTGAGCTGGAGTGACTTAGACATGTTGAGTCAAGTGCGGTGCGTGAGACTGGGTGTGAGTGGTGGTGAGATGTAGTAAGACTGGAGAGTAACTAATGCCGTAATAGAAGATTCGTTACTGTATTTCGGATGCTCGGACAAGAGAGCCCGGTATCTATAAAGGCGCTGGCTGATATTATGATGGCAAAGAAAGAAAGAAGAATAAACTGCACAGCAGAGCAAAGAAAACAGGGGGAACAGAACCAAGAAAAGTCGCAGTATGAAGCGTGCAGAAAGTGACGGGAACAAGCTGTGCTGTGCTGTTCGCTCTAGGAGACAGAAGCAGGGGGAGTTACTGGAAACAGCGAGCGAGCCACAATGACACACGTAACTTGGGTTGGTACTCAAGTCTAGAGGAGAGAAGAGCAAAGGACCCTTGATTTTGGGAGGGTTTGATAGAGCTTTTGATTGGATTTCTAAGCGCGTGTTCCCTGGAAAGTTCGAGAAACAGGCGGGCCTAGAAATTGCGGGGTGAATATTGTCAATACCTAGTACCTAGTCTAGATAGTCTCCTCATCATGAGACAAGTCATGAGAAACATGTTCATTCATTCATTCATGAAAAAAAGAATCAAAAATGCATTTTATTGCTCATAATCTACCTGCACAAATCTATCGTGACTCTTGTTTCCAAGTCACCTGATTCCGCCTCTCAGGAATCTGTCTGTGTCTAAATGCCAATCCAATATCTAATGCAATATCATGTCATCTATGCCATGTCATGTCATGCCATGGATGTCATATCATGTCCTGTCGTCCATGTCGTGTAGTATCCTAAAACTCCCCAAACTCCGTATAATAGGTCAGCAAAAACAAAGTGGCCCAACCAACTAATACTCTCTCTCTCTCATCTTCCGTCTTACATCTCCACCAAACGCACAACCAAATTCTCCTTTGGTCGCAATGTGAAAGCCGGTCCAGCGACTTCAACTTGCTTCTCTTCGTTTCCAAGAGGTTTCTCGATCTTGAACTTGCGCACCATCTCTACAAGCATGACCTTCATCTCCATGAAAGAAAGCTGCTTACCGATGCACATTCGGGGCCCGTTGTGAAACGTCTCAAAGGCGTACGCGCTTCTCGTGTCGCCTTTGAGATCGCTCCAGCGGTCAGGATTGAACTCCTGCGCGTCTGGGCCCCAGACCAGAGGGTGCGTGTTCATCACCGCGGGCGAGAGTTGGATCACGGCTCCCTTGGGGATCATGGTCCCGTCGATTTCGACGTCTTCGGTCGCTTGGCGGGGTGCCATGGCCACTGTAAACATGTTAGCGAATCAATTTTCTAATACCAGGGGATGGGAGATGGGTTACTTACCTGCGCAGTAGAGCCGCAGAACTTCGCGCACAAAGTTGTGCAAATACGGGAGTTTGTCGATATCGCTGAAGACAGGCACGCCGCAAGTGCTGTCCATGCCTGCGATCTCGTCTCGCAGACGCTGCTGGCAGTCCGGTCGGCGTGACAGCTTGTGAACGGCCCAGGTGATAGAACAAGCTGTCGTGTCATGTCCAAGGATCAAAAGATTGAGAACCTATTGCCACTGTTAGCACAATTCACAACGTCCAGAACTCAGGGGGCAACTTACATATTCAACAATTCTCTTGTCGTTCCAATCAGGGTCGGAGTGCTCCAGCAAACACTGGAGGGCGTCTCGGTTCTTTTCGTGGCCAAGGCCTTGTTCGCACTGATTACGTCGGATCGTCATCAAACCTACAATGAACTCCCGGGCTCGGGCGCAGCTCTGAGAAAACTCAATGCATTCCTTCATGGGTAAATACTGTCGAATCGGGATTAGTGAGTTCAAGTAGTTGATAACATGGCCAAACGTCGAGGGTTGCATCATCGTGGTGAAGGTGTCAAACAATGGAGACTCGTCGGATTCGAGGTGGTTAAGATCAAGGCCAAACGTTTCGAGTCCAATCACATCGAGGACTGCCTTCCAAATGTTGCTCTCGACTATAAGATTGTTAGCTCAGTCGCACCGAAAAAGGGGGGAGGGGGTTACTTACTCTCAACGTTACCGTGTTCGTTGCGTTGCTGAGTCAGTACATCGATCAGTTGTTCGGCCTTTTGCTGAACAACGGGGGAGAAGGCTCTGAGTCGAGCAGCCGAAAACGGTTCTAAGAAGAAGTCAGCATTGGTGTCAATTTGTATCAGGGTTGGTTGTACTTACGACTGAGGGCTGCTCGACGGACCTTGTGAAGCTTGCCTTCAACAAAGGGAAGTCCATCGCCGATGAATTCATGCGCGAACTGCTTCGCAAAGGCAGGCTTCACAAAGTACGAGCTCTTCGTCTGAAGGACCTGCTTGTATGCCTGGATGCTGTTTACAAACAGCGTCTCACCGTTGGCAAAGTTCAGGTATCGAATAATGGGCGCATCGGGGAATTCGCGAGACCACTTGCAAAGGAGTTCAGGAAACCAAGGGACCTGAAGGAACTTTGCAGTCTGTCCGAGAAAGAAGGCATTGTCCTATTAACAACGTTAGCAAAATGGCACGCAAGCGACGGGTGGGTTTACTTACTCTTGGTCCGGGGAGATGTCGAAGGGGGGATACATAGAAGGGATACACAAAGACGTTGAAGGCGATGATACCAATCACAAGCATGCCCAAGACGACCAATCCCATTGAAAGAGAAGGCATCGAAGGAAGCAAAGACGTCATCTTGATCGAAAAATAGAACGAGTCGTACATGTCGTGCTCTGAGCGGAAGTAACCAAGATATGAGGGATAAGAAGACGTACGTGATAGATAGGTAAGTATCTATCAAAGAGCAGGAATAATGGGATTGTGAGAGAAAGCAAGAATTACAAAGCCATGACGCAGGCCAGGATATCGATATATATTGTGCTGATTATGGCACTGGCAGCTGTCAATCATTCAGTGTCCAGTGTCCACGCACCTGGCGGGTGGCAGCCAGTGGCAGACGGAGACGGCTAGTGAACATGGACGAGCATGTTGCATTGACTTGACTTGACGTCTACGGGTACGGGCAAGATCAAGGCCCCGAACATCGAACATCGAACATCGGGCGTTTCTATATAGAGAGTTGTGGCACAGCCTTTGCCAGTCCCAAGGTATGGTATGGTCTTTGGGGGGGGAGATGGGGGCCGAAGCTTTGTTGTCGATACATATACAGCGAATACCACGTAGAAAACAGGCCAATCACTCTACCAATCCGGAGAACATGCAATGATGCGTTATCTATGTGCCGCTGTCACTCGAGTCTGATGCCGTGCGTGGCAATTTCCGAACAGATTTGAAAGGGGGTCAGTTGGTTATCTTGGTTTCTCGGAACGAATGGACGCTGGATGAATACCCTTTTGGGACGATGCAGTTTGCCGATGCATTGGGACCTTGCTTTTCCAATGCTTTACAGGCATGGATTAACAAACGTCAACAGCCTAATCTGTGAGACTCTACAGATAACCGAGATCATCTGTGCTGTAGCGAGAGGTGGCGCTCAAGCGATGATACCTTGGGCCTGAAGATCTCCAACATGGCTTGCTTCGACCTACAGCAGTCGTCGAGATATAAAATATCCTGCTCAGCCTTGCAGTTCGTCTTACAGATATTTCCGTGGCAGGTCACGCAAGGTAAGCCACTTGCATTATTTCCCGTTGGTTGTGTAACTTGATAGCCTTACCGACTTTTGGTGTTTGTATCAATTCGTTGGCGATGTTGTTCGTTTCCTGGGCTTTATCTTATCTGAACGTTTGAATAATATCCGGAACGTCACTCATTGTTCGTGCAGATGACATGACATGGATCTCGAAGTGATCAATTATACGAGTGCAGGCATAAGTCGACTGGTCTTAGTAATCGTTTCATCATAATCATCCAGGTTTGTTTGTTTGACACGTGAAGCCTCAATTCCCCAGCTAGCCAATCAACGTGTATATAAGCTTTCAAGTCTTCGAGTTGATACTATAAATGAGAGACTCTGAGTATTGCGACGGAGGGACGGCAAACACAGCCATACCAATGCTGGCTACGTATGTACTCTCCTGATAGTTTACCTCGACTTCATGTCATCGCGGGCTATGAGGTCTTGTGTTACCTCTGATAAGGGTCCTTATCCCACCGCCTTTTATACAGATGGATAGGAACTTGGAAGCGGAGCTGCTATCCGTCTGTACTACACTATCTTGCCCATAGTCGTCAAGATGACGATTATCATCACCATGCCGAGAGACATAATAAAATCGATTGATGTATGTGAGCGTTTTTATATACCTTTTTTGGCCACGTCTGGTCTCGTAGCTGTAAATCGTCTGAACATAATGGACATATGAAATTATCCTGTGTCCCATCCCGTCCCGTCCCGTCCCAATCACAAACATATGATTCTCATATATAGTAGTCGTCGTCATCGTCATCATCATCACATATCCCAAGGGGTATCCTCATGCCGTTCAAAACCCCAACCCAACGCCGTAGCCCAAGACAATCCACCCAAAGAAATAATCAACTGATTCCCAACCATTCGACCATCTTGTCCACAGCTTGCCTGCCCTCTTGAATTGGTAGAAGAGGCCAAACGTGTACCATGCCCTCTCCATACACCAGCTCGACCTTTGTGCCCTGCTCCTTGGCCATCTCGACCATCTTCTTGGTATCAGGCGTCAAGAGATCCAAGCCAGCGGCAAACACCAACATCGGCGGTAGTCTCAGATCTCCGTATATGGGACTAACATTGGGATGATGAGTGTCCATCTCTGGACAGATGAGTCTTGTGATCTCTGCGATGCCAGGGACGTCGAGCCATGGGTCCTTGAGCGCTGCGTTGTGGAGTTCAGGGTTGTCAAGACTGGAGTCAGTGCAAGGCGTGATGGGCACAATTCTCTGCGCAGTCTGTCTACCAGCCAATTTCGCATTTTGCGTGAGGACAAGAGCCATGGTCCCTCCAGCTGAATCTCCCATGACCCAAAACGGCGTCCGATCTGGTGCCGATGCGAGTTCGTCGTGGAGCGGCTGCACGAACTCGTACATCTTCATAAGCGACGTCTCAGGGCCAAGCGGGTATATTGGTACGGTGACAGTAGCATTCAGACGCCTCGCAAGCTGAGCCACCAGCTCCCAATGCTGGGGCGTGATATCAAAGACGAAGCCACCGCCATGGAGATACAAGATTCGGCCACGAGTTGGCGTCTCTGTCTTTGGAGAGACTATGTATACGACATAATCCGCAATGTGGCCTTTTCTCTTGTACTCCTCAACGGCGAACTCTTTGTAGAGGTGCTTGGGGGGCACACGCTCGGGACGAAGACGCTCCTTGGCGATGCGGTTGTTGATGCCCTCTGCTGAACTCCATGTGCTCTTGAACCACCACCAGATGATCCAGCTGAGGATGCGGGCTTTGAAGCTGGGCATTGCTGAGCGAGACGGAGTTTATGAGGGTATCACGGGAGTGGGAATATGCAATGACTGCATACAGTAGACGATGGATGTTCAAGGTCTACAGCTGCAACCACAGCCAGTTGTCATTATGCGCTGGCGGCTTTTTTCTGTGGAGGGGAATATGGGTACGAATAGGGTGGTTGGTGGTGAGGGGTCTACGTACGGTCTACGGTCTACACCGCTATAGTAAGGTATGGCGCAAGTTGTTGAGAGGACAGGCATCTCAACGAATAGTGCAGCACTGTTGCACAGCATGGCCAAGTATTTTTGTGGTCAGTTGGGTTATTTGCAGTATGAGTATGGGTTGGCTTGTAGGACGATGGAAGTAAGTTTCAATCCATCTCGACAATCTAGGGTAGGTAGGTGAGTAAGGTAGTAGTCAGACATGATGACCCCAAGCCGAGGCAGACCAACCATCGTGAATTGTTAGGTAGGTAATCGTACATGTTCTTTACAAGCTTGAACCCGTTCCTATAAATTGATATTACTTGTCAATTGCTGCAATAATCCGACTGTTATTGCAGATAATCCGATCGACCAAACGGATGAAGCCCTTTCTTTACTCACCAGTCCCAACCCCAGAGTCTAGTGATCACCATGTGCTTGCTGCAGTTGCATTGTCAGAGATTATCAGATCATGCTCGCATATACGTACACATTCACATTCACATTCAGCTGTCACAAGGAGCCCTTTGACCCGGGAGTCCGGAGATGAAAGAGCACTGCGTTAACACGGGAACAAGATTGACATGAACCAGTATAAGGAAACGAGAACGAGAACGAGTCTTTATTCAGCACAGTCAGGAGCATGATATTCATGTCAATACTCATCGCGATGATTGATAAAAAGTGGTTGAAAACAGGGTTATCACTGTCTTGACTAGTGTCGCCTAGCTTTGAAAGTGGAAGTGATCTTCGAGAGCTGGACAAGACGAGTTGTGATGCTGCATGGGTCAAACGCAGGCGTTGGACGCTGAAGGATCTCGCTTACAATGACCCTTTTTCCTTCTTCTCTTTGCTTTTTGTGATTTGGGGTCTGAATCGAGGTGACATTTAACGGTTGGATCCAGTGTATATGTAGTAAGACGGGCGAAGGGATATCTTCAGTGTCTACAGTCAACTGACAGCAAATTCACTCCACTCACTTTGGCGGATACTTCAACAGTGCGGGCATTCTAATATCATGCTATTTGGTGAACAGTATAGCGAGTACACTGTCTGTACGGTTACTAGTTGATCCCTAAACCTCTTGTTCACAAAATAACCGCCAGTATCACACCTCGACCAAGCCATCAACCCTCTCTTCAACTTATGTACCCAATAAGATCAAATCCTCACCCTAAACTCTTAAACCACCTCCGCATTTCAACTTCAAACTAGTGCAAGCCCAACCGAGCCATCCTCTACAGCCCCCCCCCTAACACCCCCTAACACCCTCTAAAATACAGTAGGGCCAGGTCTGCTCTGATTGGTGTACCGCACGTGCACACACTTTAAATGCAAAGGCCTGACCTATGACATCCCTGCCATTAGCATTTGCTGGTTCCGGGTTTTCCCCTCCCTCGTTTCTCTCCTCCTCCACAAAAAACCGACGTCAGTGACTACGATTAAACCGTTGCTCTTCCCCAGACTGTCACTGTCTCTGTTTCTTCTTCATATCTCTCGACTCCACTTCTTCATCCCATCCCATTTCCTCCGAGAAACAATTGAGTCCCTTTACTACGACGTTTGATCACAAAACACAAGCAGCACAAGTAATCAGGCACTGGTTCTCTCCTCAACTGCGCATATTCCGGCATCATCGCGAAACAAAAACAACTCGGCTTTGCTCGGACCGTCGCTCGGCTACCCCGTCGACCTCTACCACCAACCTCTCTCCGTCACATCACAAACACACCAGACCGATAACCTCACGATGCCTTCACAACGACCGTATTTCCTCTCTTCTTTCCTCGCCGCCTTCCGTCCTCAAGGCCCCTCTATCTCTACTACCGCTCCCCATCAACATCAGCCAAACAAGCACACCCGAGATGCAACGACCACCACAACTGCCACAGCAACTGCAGCAAACACAACCACCACTGCGACTTCTACGTCACATCATCATCATCATCAGTCTCAACAACAACCAACTACTTCCAGTGTCGCCATCCGTCCGCCCCGAAACACCACTTCATCATCACCGTCAACATCAACATCTCCCGCCAACGGCACCGCCATTCCTATTCCTGGATCATCTGGTCGACGTGGAAGTGATAGCAGCAGTGAAGGGTTCCGTGATGTGATAGGCGCCGACAAGTGGTATATCGGTGGACGCACACCCGGCGGTGAAGAGAAGTTCTTCAAGCTTGGCGTTATCCGCCGGGTGAGAAGCAATGATGGCTTAAGCTTGGATCGTCTAAGCTTATAATCTGACGCATAACTATTTTTATGAGACTTTTTACGACTACTGGCCGGGACAGGAAAGATGTGTATGCATCACTCCTTACATGATATGCCACTCTGGTACAGACGCACGAACTTCACTTTTGCATGAATTTGGGATGCTCGATATGAAACTGGGTATGGTTAGGGCTACAAATAGGTCTGAGGGAGGACCGTGGGTATGGCGTTCAGTGTTTGGGTATATTTCACATCTGGCATGAAATAAGTTCCCAGCGATAAGAGGGCCACATGCTTATCAAGACAAAAATACAAAAAGAGTATCTTTTGCAACCACACCGCTCATATGCCCTCCATTTTGTGTTTACCACATAAATCTTTGAAGTCGACCGTCGTCCAGCACAGTCCCATCTTCTGCCTTCCATATGTAAGGCTTGGTGAGGAAGATGTAACCTGTTGCAACATTGATGGCGATGAACCAAAACGTCTCAATGATAAGGCGTAGATCATAGTGTTGAAAGAACTCAAACAATTGCCTCGTCTTTGGGTGATTTGAGAGCCGAGAAGTAACATCACCGTGATAACCATGATCATGAAGCCTCCACGCAGGTACAAGCAGCCTCCACATCACCCAGGGTATGATAAAGTATCGTGGCTCTACTAGCGGGGCCGTCATGAGTGACAAGGTTGTGGCAAGCAAGAATATGAGTCCAGTCGAGGTGGAAGCTGGTATAACGGAAGCAAGAAGAGAGTCATCTTCCAAAGCCTTGCTCAGTTCTTGACCTTTGGAAGTATCCCGAGAACTCCCTGTTATCTCAGCTGGAAAGGCGGCATAAGTTTGTCTTGGCGAAAACCCAACGTTAGTCACCATAGGATGACTCAGAAAGGGAGGGTCTTTTGTTCCATTCTCATAAACAGAACAAGCACGTGTGTGGATAGTGAAGAATCGTGAGCAGCCAGCGATGGTACCCCACGTCATCCACCGAGACAAGGTATAGGGGACAACCAAAGCATATCGAATCCAAGAAGCCCGGCGGATGGTGTATCGAAAGACGTAGAACATGTAATGGCGGTTGTCAGCCAGAGTGAAAGGGTGTATAATGGTGTTGTAGCGGACGACGGCGAGTGAGAGCGCGATGGTCGCAAGGAGGTAGAGGGGCCAGATTATAAGCTTAATCCCAAAGATGAAGCTGGCAATTTCCAGTGGCTTCGACAGACGTGGGTATTTTCTGTCCGAACTGCCAGTTGCCGAGGTTTTCTTAGAGCTTCCTGACCTTCGTGATTTGCTGAAGGAAAATGTGGCCGGCTCTGCATTGTTCTCTGCCTCAGGGGCTTGCTTGCTAGTTAGAGTAGGCGGTCCAGCCCGCGGCATTATTCGCAGTATTATGTTAATGATGGGTAGGGCATATGGTACCAGAAGTGGCAGAGAGAAGAAAGCAAAGAAAGGCCATATGTAGAGCATCTGTGGGAGGTGAATAGTAGCAATATGGTTGGATTTGTCACCTTGTGTCGTTAGCCACAGACCCGACAATATGAAAAGGGAGTACTTACCGAGGACAACACCACCGTTCCATGCCACGAAGCCACCAAATGAGACAAGGACAGCAACGTAAGGCCATATCTGTCTAATGACGCGGATTGGGTTGCAAATCGCTGCGATTCCCAGACTCAATACACAGAAGAGCATGTCTGATCTTCAGTTAGTGACAAGTTGATTTGCAGGAAAGAGCTGTTTTACCATCTGGCCACATCATGTGCAGTGGGGGGTCATGAATATCTCCAAGGGAATACCTCCAGGCAAAGTACTTGATCTGCTCAAAAAGTGTCAAGATAACTGGCTGATCAACCTGCTCCGGCCGTAAGGTCTTGACAGCATGGACAGCTTCTAGACCACCCATATACACAACAACCCAGAAGACATTGGTCTGGCGAAAGAAAAGTGTGACAATTCCAAGGAAGATTGTCGTTAGATCGTTTAAGGCAGAACTACGATCTCGACCAATGCGCTTCAAGTGGTTCAAGTACGCGACCAGGACGGCTGCAGTAGATGCAACATCGGTGTAGTAAAGTCCAGAGAAGAAGAAGAGAAGCGGAAAGAGGGCGACGTTAAGCGCAGTGTGAACTGCAAATTGTGAAGTATTGCGTAGCCGGGTCGAGGTATGGGCTTCATAAAAACGTGCCTCGATCTGTTGACGGCACTTCAGGACCAAGAAGGCGAGTATCACCAGAACAACGACGTTGGTAGCCCGTAGACTCTTGACATCGCAGAAGTATCCACCCACTGAACTACTAGGTCGGACGACTCCAGGCGTTGTAAGAGAGAGAAGATAACTGCACGGGGCTCAGCATTTGGTTAGGGGTAAATAAGCGCGTGAAACTCACAGCCCTGGTGGTGTCGTAATCTTGTCATCCCACTCTTGGAACCTCCCCTGGCAGTATTTCTGAGCCTGCGGTATATGGAATACTTCATCCTAGCTTGAGTTAGTATCTGTGCAATGGGCATGATATAAGATAAGGCGTACCAGGTAAGGCTCAGGGACCAGTGCTGAGACAATATACAACCAAGAGACGGAAGCGACAGAAAGAAAATAAAAGAAAAAACCCTCTAAGCGCGAGTTAGGGCCTGAAGAGCTCTTGAATCGCCAGGCAAAAAGAGGTAGCGCAATGATGAAGGCTGCGACTGTCTTGTATCCTTGAGATATGTCCATCTTGACAGGTGTTCATCAGCAGTTAGCTGAACGCGAAAGAGATCGTGTTGAAGGAATTATAATCCTCTCATGACATAGAGAAGCCAAATATTTCTGCTTAGAGAGACAATAATTAGAAAAGGCGAAGGATAAATGAATGGCCAAAGTCAGCTTGAAATTGTATAAGACGGGCAAGCTGTATCTACATGTAGGAGAGAGAACAGTGTTTCGTAGTGAGTTAGTGGCACTGTACTTTAATGAGTGGAACATCATAACAACAACCCCAAATGGTTCAAAGCAATCTCCAAGCCCCAAAAGGTAGGTATTATAGGCTACAATAGTGTCGCTCAAGAACCACTCTATACCTTCCATGCCTTTACTGATCCATTCTTCTGAGCAGGACTTCCATAAGGTGCCAGGCATGTCTCTGGCTACAAGTTAAGCACTTAAACATCAGCCAATCACAGGCCGTACATTTCACAGCAAAATTCAATGCTCAGAACATGTCTATTGGAATATCTTATACAAGGAGAGCCGGCACCGGCGCTGAACAACGTCTATCTTCCTCAAGTCCACCAAATAATTTAGAAAGGCTAAACAGACTATTAGTAACTGACCCCAGTGCTTCGTGTCATAGTCAACACTCACGTTGTCGGCGGGGTGGATCTCCTTTCGGAAGTAGTTGCCAAGGAAAGGGATCTTCTGTATAGGAATTAATATCGTGGCCAAACAATATCGAGACATGTTCGTTCGTACCTGGAGAACGTCGCGCTGCACACGGGGAATACCGTTGGCGAAGAGGAGGACAGCAACAGCGGCGGGGGCACCGTACATAGCCAGACGGGAGCCGCTATAACCCAGTCAGTTCCCATCCACAGCATAAATATCGGTCGTCCAGCGAAGTTCATAATCAAATTCCAATCTCTCATCCGTCATATCCATCTCAGCCGCGGTTGATCATTCTAAGGCTTCGGGGAAACGGAAGGGAGATGGAAACTCGGTTCGCTTGCATATTCGGTTCTCGGCCGTCTTCTCGGTTTAGGATCGTGCACTTACATTCGGAAGGCAGCCTGAGGGGTGAAGCCTGCAACGTTGGGCTGAGCATGGTACCTTTTCCAGAGTATTAGCCAACGTCACTACTTCAATGTGAACCCTTGTGTAGAATTTTGAGAGTCGTAGTTCGCTTGTGCCTTGACAGTGCGCTTCGAATTCGACGTTCGGTGATCGTAAACTGGTATAACGTACTTAGGACCATAGTTGCTCTTGAATTCCGACATGCGGATGGGAGTCTGGTGAGAATCAGGTCAGTCGATTGCACTCTTCGTAAAAGACGCCTCGAGCCATTCGTGAATATCTGTAGCTCGTTCTCGGCGGTCGTATCGGAGGGTTCGGACGTACGTAGGAGACCATCTTGAGTTTTAGGGCGGTGGAAGCCTGTTTCGTCGTTCAATTGCTCGTCGATGTCGTCGTCGTAAAAGAAGGGCCTTGAACTTGGTTGCGCGAGTTTGCCGGACGGGAAAGATCGGGTTTGTTTGGCCTCAGGCCTAAAAGAAGCTTTGAGGCAGCCGACCAATGATAACCTCAACTAAAGACCCACTCTTGGCTTTCAAGCTTCGGTCTGCTATAGCAGCCTTGTCTTTGACCTTTCTTTTGTTTACTTTTATATCACTTAGTGTTGGGATAGTCGTCGTGACCAGCCACGATCTTGTGATGGACAAATATATCGATGGTCGCTTCGAGCGACTAGAGAAAGCTCTCGCAAATCTAATTGATTCAGTCACAAAATACCATCCCTCTATACAACAAGGAGAGGAGCTCAATGCAGCCGACCAAGAACTAAGCAGAGGCTTGGAAGAAGGTATTTGATACAACTTAGCCAGCCATGAATATCCAGCTAACTTGCTTCTCAGTCCAAACCCACCAGAACAATTATTTGCGTATTCAACAACTGCGCGAGTCGTCAAACGCCCTTGACACGCAGATCCGCGATACTCTTTCGAATCTAGCTACTACTCGCAAGGATATCGTGACGACGCAAACCACCACATTTCCTTCTGGCCCAAGCTACCCCATCGCCTACGAAGAGCTGCTCAACTATGCCCGACGTATCAGTAAAACGACTATGCCACCAGCAGGCACCATTAAAGCCGTACCACCGACGGCAGATGTCCCAGAAGTTCAGACTCCAGGCGGTCAAACACCAGCAGCCCAAACCCCAGGACCCGAGTCGCAAGCAGCTTCAGTCATGACACCATCTGTGCCTCCATCGTCTCAGGTTCAAAGCCCGGCAATCATGAATGGCACGCCAGCTGTTTCTCAGGAACCTGCGACTCAACAGTCCTCCATGTCCGCCAACACTGTCCTGCCCAGCGAGTGGACACAGTTCTTGAACCCCTTGACCGACCAGATCTTCCTCCCTTGGCCAAACGACCTTCAGCTTGGCGCTGGCTCCCTTGCTGCTAACCAGCTCCTCCAGGAGCAGGGCATTGACCCCAAGGGCTACGATCCAGCCGAGGAAGAAGAGCGCAAGCGTCGTGAGGAAGAGGAGAGAAAGCAGAAGGAAGAAGAGGACCGTATTGCCCAGGAAGAGCGCGAGAAGAAGCAACGCGAGGAACGCGAGCGCCAGCGCATCGAGAGAGAACGCCAGAGAGAAAAGGACCAAGAGGCCTGGAGACGCGCAAGTTTGGTTGGTGGTCCGGCTGCCCCTGGCGAACAAAGGAGCCCAACTGGACCTCCACAGCAAAAGGCCCAGTTTCAGTTTACTAATTTGGATGATTTGGATGACGACGACGACGACGATTGAGCAGGAGGAAATAAGCCAACGAATTTTTGATATCTATAATAAGCTTAAAAACAATGCAGAACAATGCCTCCTCGTCAATAGCCAACACGGCCCTGCTCTGTTGGCACTGGCCTGATTTTGATATCCGTCTAAATGAAAATGAATCTACTCCGTACTCGCAGCGTACTGATGCAACACCACGGATCCTTATCACCATAATCTCGCCGATCTGGCCCTTGTTTGCAGCTTAAAGCACGGCTCATGGTAAACGCGAATTCCAGACGCTGGTCGTACATGTATTTTACAAACACCAAAATCCCGTCTCTTGTTCATTAGTCACTTGTCGTTGATGATCCATTCGTCATAATTGGTGCAAGGCCGTCTCTTAATCAATCTTGATGGACGAGTAGATCTTGCGAACGAACCACCAACTGGCAAAGTAGCCGATGGAGCCTGAAACGGTCAGAATGGTAAATAAAAAAAGGGCCAGAAGAACTTACCAGTAAGAATGAAAAAGAGGAATGAAATGATGGCACTATAACCCATGTAGAGCACAATACCAGCCAGTCCACTCGCCCTGACCTTTGTAACAAGGTACAAAAGACAATTCAAGAAGATATAGCCACCACTCATACCAGCAGCGAGGAAAGATCTCCACTGCCAGTTGTAATTCTCAGCACATAGCAGGAAGTACACCATAAGGATAGTGACAGCAGCGCAGACAACGATCATGAGACCATAGCAGAGGAACAGGAACCCAAACATGTAGTAGATCCTGCTGAACCAGATCGAGTTCATGATGAAGAAGAGCTCCACAAAGATGGCACCGAAGGGGAGAAGACCGACAATGAGCACGCTAGGGACTGGCTTAAGGTAAGTGCTCACAGGAGGAATCTGTCGTGGAATCTGGTTGGTGCGGACAGGGGGCTGGAACTGAGGAGAACGGAATCCAACCCAAGAACCGCCGAACGAGAGAGGAATCGAAATAATGAACCAGATAGCAACAATCACAAGCATGGTGGTGAAAGGAACCGCGCCTGAGGACTGCTTGGCCCAAAGGAAAAGGTTCAGGAGGAAGAAGCTGGAGAAGACAATGCCGGGGACCAAGGTTGGGGTCAAAGCAATGTTCAGCTTCCAGCTCTCGCCCTGCCATGCCTTGTAAGTTCGAGCAGAGACATAACCACCAACGAAGCCAAGGACAGTGTACATGAGGATCATGATTGTGCCAAGGGATCCACGGTTTGAAGGAGACAAGAATCCAAGGAGAGCAAAGAGAATGGTACACCCTGTCATGCAGAACAGCTGAACACCATTGCCAGCCAAGACTGAGAGCAGAAGAGGACGCGAAGGGGTTCGGAAGACGTCGCCATGGACCAGCTTCCAGCCAGAGTCTTCCTGAACACCATCCTCAACAACCGAGGTACCGCCAAAGTCGTCGAGGTCGATCTGGTCGAGTCTGTTATAACGAGCAATATCCTTCTTGAGAGCGCGGACCAGGATGGACATGACAGTGAGAACAAGAATGACGACAATGATAGCAGTATCAATAAGCCAGAACCAATGAATCTTAGGATCAAACACGTGCAAGTACTTGTCCCATCGAGTGGCCCAGGCTGTGTCCGACTTGCGCCAGATCACGCTGTAGCTAAAGGTAACATGCTGTTCGCCTCCGGACAAAACGATAGGCGGGTGATTGGCGCAATCAGCCTTGCCGCCGTACTCCTTTGAACTTGGCTGCACAACCACACCAACGACACGGCGCTGGTTGGGGTCCTTGTTCACTTCGTGGTACTCGACGGCGATTTCGTAGTGGTTATTGAACAGAATGTTGTCGTCCTTATCATCCTGGCCGAGCAAGAAACGGGGGTTGTAAAAGGTAGTGCCAGTCAACTGATCTAGAACTTCCTGTCCAGCTGGCAATCCATCCACAAGCCATTCCAGGCTGTATCCCTGTTCGATGCGGCTTTTGACGAATTGAACCGATTTCTCAGTATACTTGACTTCGCAAAGGGGTTTGCAGGTCTCGTTCTTGCCCATGATAAGCTCAAAGGGAGAAGTCATGATACGGTCTCCGAAGAGAATACTACCCAGACTTTCCGATACATATTGAGGGCCGCCTTCAGGTTGGCAGAATTGGAACGCAGGGTGGTAGTAGTCGTATGAGACAACGGCGTGTAGTCGCGGGTCTTGGGAGCGGTCGACAGGCTTGATGCTATTCACGTAAAGCGGAACCTTATCTCCCTCTTTGTAGGTAGTAGGGGCTACACCGGGGAGATAGAAGGCAGACGCCAGCTGTGGTATAGCTAACAATGAGCTGACGAGCGCTGTACGAGGCGCAAAGTCTCGGAAATGCATATTGGAAAGTTAGATCATGCGCAGGCCGATAGAGGGTAACAAAGGAGGATTGCGAAAGCCGATATGTGAAGCTGTCGATCAAAGCTCCAGCTGACGACGACTTGCGCGGCCCGCAATTTCGAGTCGATGAGGAAGGAAAATAAAAATCCTAGTAATCACTGGCAAATTTCCTCAGTTTCTGCCTCTTGTATCGTCCGGTCAATGATATAAAGGATCGTGTGGTGAATCAAGCCAGCGAAACAGGTACGAGAGTAAATCATCAAACAGGGAGCTTCAAGGCACTTGCTGTAATCTGTCATGGAGATATTAGCTGAGTCAGGAGGATGAGCCACGCACTGAAACAGGGGATTTGTGGCGTTTGTGGCTGTCGAGGCAGGAATGTGGAGACTGGCCAAGAGTGCCCCGCTAAAAAGTTGAAGTACTCCAAACTTTTCGACAAGACATGACTTTTCAATTGTCTAGAGATTTCAAGTCTCGGGCAAATAGATCAACATGGCAGCACCTACAACACTACCGGCGCTACTGACGTCGCTAACCCAGTCTCTGTCATCAGCACTCGAGGTCACACCAAAACTCGCAACTATCGAGCACCAGAAGGATGGCATTTCACTTCTCGATGTGAAGAATGAGCTTCTACTGTCATATCTACAAAACCTCGTTTTCTTGATTCTACTCAAGTTGCGCAACTCGAAATCAAACTCGGATAAGGCTGAAGATGAATCCGAACTCGACGAATCTGTGAGGGCAAAGCTGGTGGAACTACGACTTTACCTAGAAAGGGGAGCCCGGCCGTTGGAAGAGAAGTTGCGCTTCTCCATTGATCGCTTCCTCCGAACGGCGGATGACGCAGAGCGCGAGAGACAGGCAAAGGAAGCCAAGGCCGCCGCTGGATCAGATTCTGAGGAAGAAGAGGAAGACTCAGAGGAGGAGGCAGATGCTGAGGCTCTGTCTCACAAGCCCGGTAACTTTGGAGCCATGGCTGATGATGTTACCGCTCGCCGTGCGGAGCGTGATGGAGGAGCTGCGGGTGTATACCGCCCGCCCAAGAGAGACCGCGCCACGATGGATGCGCCTCAACGACGCGAGAAGCACGACCGTCGCGCCGGCAAGTCTCATACCATGGAGGAATTCGTTGCTTCAGAGCTATCCAGCGCACCTTTGGCGGAGCCCAGTATTGGCACCACAATTGTCCAGGGCGGTCGCAAGATGAAGACCGACGCCGAGCGAAAGGAGGAGGCAGAGCGCCGAGATTACGAGGAAATGAACTTCACAC